TTTTTTTGAAGGGAAGGGGTCAAGGCAACTGGAACTGTTACTTGTAGAGGCAGCAAATGGAGTAACCCCTGCTATTCAGGGCCTGAATATATGTTCAGGGGTAATTACCCCTAGAATTCTAGGGAGGGGTATTTACCCCCAGGATTCTAGGGGGGGTATTTACCCCCAGGATTCTAGGGGGGGGTATTTACCCCCAGGATTCTGGGGGGGGGTAAATAACCCCAATAACCCCCTTATGGCCGCCACTGTATGTATGCCAGCTATAGGTGGCCAAATGGCTGGACTTAATGAGCTGAAATTTGTTAAGGGAACCCTTGAGTACTTCGGAGGTAACATAGGCTAAAAAATAAGATTTTCTTTGTAAAAATAAAAATAAAACTTTATTTAAATCAATTTTAATTTTCAAAACTTGATTTTTTAATTCCACGGGCAACATCAGGCATTTCAGCTAGTATATATATATATATATGAGCGAAGAGCTTTATCTTAAAGACAAACAAACGGAAAAACCAACAACAAGCCAAATATATCCGTCTGTGGTTGTCAATTATGTATAGATTACTCTCATGCTTTTGTCTATTTATCTTGTCAGTATAATAATGGAAACTAACTATTACAAATAAAGTAAATAGATGCAGGTTCATTTATTATTTCTAGAGATGGACATTTTTTCTTCCTTTCACTTCTTTTACTTTGCTGAGCGAGGGGAGGAAGGCCAATCACATCAATATCTAGTCCGAACCACATTCTCCTCATTTTCTCATCCGAACCACCTCGAAATCCTCGTCCTTTCAATATTATTTTTTTAAAGTGTCCGATCCTTGAAAATAAATACATTTTTTAAAAATATGGCGACGTTAGGGCATAGATGAAATATAAAATTTTCCCAATTAAATTTTAGATTTGTGTAAAAATGAAAATTCTCCATAAACGATGTTCTACAAAAAAGCGTCTGTATCAAGAGCCCTTTCTTTCGCGGAAAATGCCGCAAAACATTCTCAAACTCGATGTAAACAACTTTTTGTAATATTCCAGCTGAATTTGGGTCAGAGATATGACTTGCAATATTTATATGATTAAATACTGTTTGAATTCATAGGGTTGTGACCAATTAATTGTAGCAAATTATTTGAATAATATAAATTGAACATTATTTTTTCTATAATTTTAAGCATGCGGCAGGCAGTAGTGATCTCTTAGTTTGGACAACAAATCTACCTTATTTGTTAATAAATCAGAAATCAATGATTATTTTGTATACGTTGAAGTAGAAAGATTAAAGACCATGTTCACGCAAATTCTTTGGTATAAATTTTTATTTGTGAAAGTTATCTATTTTGGAGGCAGAAGAGATTCAATTTTGAACCTAAATAATGTTTGACATCATTCTCGTGGATTTGAAGATTCCAACATCTCAAAATCCTTGGAAAACTTTATTCTAGTCATGTTTTATGCCCTAACGTCGCCATATTTTTAAAAAATGTATTTATTTTCAAGGATCGGACACTTAAAAAAATAATATTGAAAGGACGAGGATTTCGAGGTGGTTCGGACGAGAAAATGAGGAGAATGTGGTTCGGACTAGAGATAGATGTGGTTGGCCTTCCTCCACTCGCTGAGCAGAAAGACCTGAACTAATTTATAATTAATAAGTGCTGAAAACTTTAGAATGGGGGATATTGAGATTAATGCTCGATCTCCTCTTTTTTTTAATCTCCAGATTAAATAACGCTTCTTCTCCTCTTGTTATTAATCTCCAGATTAATTAACCGATCGGGATTAAGGATATCCTATTCTAAAGTTTTCAGCTCAGAGCTGAAAACTTTAGAATGGGGGATATTGAGATTAATGCTTGATCCTCTTGTGCTTGTAACCTTAAGTGTATAAAATTCAACCAATCAGAGTCGCGAATATAAAGCCGATAAATTTGAAATTTTGCGCGCCATTTAAGATTTTATACAGAAATGGAAGGGACTCTCTAATTTAAAAAATACTATATCCAAGAAAGAACGGTTTAATAAGAAAATCAAAAGTGTGTCCATTGGATACTCAGATTAAGTAATCAGGATTAATCTGGAGATTAATAACATGAGGAGAACAAGCATTATTTAATCTCGCTATTAAGAAAAAGAGTGGATCAGGCATTAATCCCGATATCCACCATTCAAAAGTTCCCAGCTCAGCTCAAACTAATCTAAGTTAACAAATATAATTAATGTAACGATAATCACAAAATAGCCCTAGTCCTGCCATTTTTAAAATGTGGTCTGCCTTTTTTGAGCATTTCTCATTATGATTGTAAGAGGTTACATGTCTGAAATCTTCATCACGTTTAGATTTTTATACTCAATATTTCTATATCAGTTTGCACAATTTTTACGATCAAAAAATATTGCAATTTTTTTTGTTGATATTTTTTGTCGGGAATAAGTTTATATGACCGGTCAGAATTTTGCCTCAAAAAAATAACGATTTTAAAATATAAATCTTAAGTTAAAACAGAAAATCTGCGAAATTGTTATTTTTCAAAATTTTTATAAGTTACAAAAAGATTAATGCGAAGCGACCAGTCCCCCTTGATATAAATATTATGAATTAATGTAATGATAAATATAGAAAATTAAGTCTTGAATATTTTTTTGCAGCTTGCAAAAAACTTTTAGCGCAACAATTACAGCTGTTAACGATTTAACGATCAATAAATGTTAAATTTGTGTATAATGCCTCTTTATTAAAAGTTAAGTTATGAATTTACAAAATTCTTATTTCATATTAAAAGAAAAAAAGACGATGAAAATTCTACTGTTTTCTGGTCCCCGCAGTAATATTTAAACTTTCTACAATTTACTTTATTACTTGTATTTTCACTATAATTAATTATTAATTCATTAATAATTACATTGTTAATTAATTATTAATTAATTGATATATTTACAGGAAAGAAAAATAGCCTGGTGTGTAGAAAAGAAAAATCTATATCAACTTAGTCTTGTAAAAATATCTAATTTGTCTATCTCCTTGTACACTGTACTATATAGATTGCAAAAAAATCAAAGAAAAACGAACTGACCGTATACCATCAAAAACAACAAAAAAACGATCGTTTTAAAAAAGGATTGTTTAAGATAGTTTTTAGAAGGAGAATTTCTTTTTGAACAGAATATCAAAGTAAAGAGGCTGGAGTAAATTTCGTTTAAGAAAAAAATAAATTTACTTTTGAGAAAAATGAAAAAATATACCAAATCTTTATTTTCATTTTCGTTTTTCAAAAAAAAAAAAACTATCATTTTGTTAATTCTAACAATTCTTTATCTTTTTTAAAATGAAGTTTGGTTAGTTTTGAAAAATAAGAAACGAAATGAAAAATGATTACAACCTTCGTTTTTAATAACTATGTATCAATACATAAAAAAATAAAGTATGTTTATTTAAAATTTCAATTTTTAAAATAAAAAATTTGTTAAAATCACATTTGAAACTGAGCAGACAAAACAAGTCGCTGTTGTTCATTATTTTGCTATTTTTTGTTTATTTTTCAACTATAGTAGCAACAAAATAGAGGAATAACAGTTTTTTGGAATTTAGTGATTTTTTTTATAAATAATCAACTTTTTATAAATTATTAATGGCCGCTACGGAAAATGTAAGAAGAGAGATTATCGTTATACAAGTAATCGTCGAAAATCAATATCAACCCATTTTATGAAGACGATCAATTATCGTTTACTGAAGAGGTAGTGAGAGACACCCCACTCTGACCCCTCGGCGATCCCAAATGTTTCTGAGCAGACAATGAAGAACAGTCTCCAATTGAGCCACCATCTGCGCCACTTTTCACCTGAATATCAGGTGTTTTAAAAGCTGGAATTATTTGATATTAAGGGGACTGCAAGCGCAATTTCAAGTCATTCTCTGTTCAAAGATGGTAACGCACACTCAATTAGTAATTGTATAATTGGCGGTACAGTCCAAAGTAGGACTGCAAAGGTTGGCCCAGCTCGGATTTTCAAATGTACACCGGTGGGCGTGACCGCCCGTTTAACAGTCTTATCCTCAAAAGCTTTTTCGGAGATATTGTATTTTTCAAAGTTTTAAACATACATTTTTCTTTTAAATTTTAATTATTAACAGTATGTATAAATTAAATAGATGCTGGTCAAAGCAATTAAACATGGTGCTCACACGTCTACACACACCCTGTTGTTTTAATTATTTTTCTGCTATGAATTCATGTTCTCCAAAGCTTTTTCCCTATGCTTCAATTTTCCATCATATTTTTGGTTAAACTTTGATTTCTTAAGTCTAAAAGTGTTTAAATCTAATAATTCACGTAAGTAAAGAAACAACAATTGAAATTAACCATTTTTCAAAATTCTAAACATCCAATTCATATAAGACCAGCTAGACGAAGCTTTAAAGGGTACTATTATACATCGGGCATTGACATTTTTGCATGGAGTTTCACTTGAAACTAAGCTTACAGTTCTTTTAACTAAAAATATTATATATTCCAATGAACATTGTGTGCGATGTACACAGAACCGTTTCATTTAAAAGTTGATTTTCAACTTACTGATAAAAATATTTGCTTTTTAACAACATAAAATGTAAATAAAATTTCTGAAATGTCGTCTTCTCAATCCATAGTTATAAAATTGCTTCAATGTCGTCTTCTTATTCCACAGTTTACAGAGTCCTATTAAAGTTTACCGTAGGTTTGCTTGAGAATAGGAGTTACAACTTCGATATTTCTATCCATCAACTCCAACCAGGCCTCCAAGGTTCTAAATTTATTTTTTAAGCTATTCTTTTAAAATATCCTTTTTAAATGTTCTTTTTTGATTATTATGATCATAGTGAAAAGTAACCAGAAATTTTTTTATAATGAATAAAAAGGCTATATGGGAGCTCTATAGTTCTATAAAACGTGGGGGAGGGGGGGGCTTGGCCGTCGCCCCCTGTTCAGCTTCCACAACTTTTCACATCAACTTGTGAGGTTACTTATAGCAAAGACGATTAAGAAAACGGTACTGATAAGTTCAATAAAAGAAACAAAGATAATTTAAAATATAAATGGATAAAACACCTTGAATAATGAGTTCCAGAAACTCCCCACTGATTTTCAATCAACAAATCCTAAACATGATAATTAAAATTAAATTTTTTTTGGAAATGAATTTAAACCTTTTGAAAGTTGAGAAGAAGGGAGTGGGAGGGCATAGTTCCTCCAGTGAAGAAGGTTCGAGCCATCCAATCTAAAAATAAAAAATCATTCTAATAGTATTTTTGCCCCCCCCCCCCCCCCAATATAGGGCAAGTATTTAAATATAATCATAGTGATTTAAAATTGATCATTCTATGAGAACAAAGATGAAGAAAAATACGGAATTTTTTACCTTTCTCAAAATGATAGGGTTTCCATTTATGAGTGAAAATATGCACAAAAAGTTTCCCGTCACACTGTAACAGTTACTAATTAATTGCCTGCATATATTGATGCTAAAAACATTAATTATATCAATGCTGCAGATATCTATGTTAAAAACATGAATTCTATCAATGCTGCAGATATTGATGTTAAAAACATGAATTCTATCAATGCTGCAGATATTGATGTTAAAAACATGAATTCTAGAAATGCTGCAGATATTGATGTTAAAAACATGAATTCTAAAAATGCTGCAGATATTGATGTTAAAAACATTAATTCTAGAAATGCTACAGATATTTATGCTAGAAACTTGAATTCTAGAAATACTGCAGATATTTATGCTAGAAACATTAATTCTAGAAATACTGCAGATATTTGTGCCCGAAACACGAATTTTAGAAATGCCGCAGATATTAGTGCTAGAAACATGAATTCTATAAATACTGCAGATATTCGTGCTAGAAACATGAAATCTAGAAATGAAGTCTTTAGACAAATAACCGCTCGCTATCAAAATATTATTTCGATGCATTAACCCCAGGCTGAACTTCTTAGACGACTGTACGGAATGTATTGAATTTTTTGTTACATTTATACTCTTTAAACCTCTATCTTAATAAAATAAAGACAGATTTCACAATGTTTCTATTTAAAAAGTGTAAGTATAAAAGTCGTCTTTGTGTTCACTAAAAGTACAATTGTTGGAATATTCATTTAATTTGTAACATCACTTTTAAAAACTATAAAATTTATTTATTTTATCTAAAAATTGTTCACCTTAAGCCAAGCAGATATTTTCTCGAGTAACTTTTCATAATTCTTCATGTGTTCAAACATTTCTTAAAATATGATTTTATAAAATTTATTTTCAATATGTGAAAGTATAAAAATTAGATTTGTTTGTTTAATTTGTTGAAAACAATTCTATGTCGAGTAAAATACGAAGAATACAAGAAATTTGAATATTAAATCTTAATTATAGAATAATTTACCAATTGAAATTATTCGGTCAAAGGATTGGGCAAACTGTGAGTTTTGATATGATGTTATATCTCCAGTATACACAATCAGATTAGTTAATCCTTTCTCCCTTCAATAGTATTCATTCAAACCATTCATGTTCATGTTCATGTTCATGTTCATGTTCATGTTCATGTTCATGTTCATGTTCATGTTCATGTTCATGTTCATGTTCATGTCGAAACTGAATGAAAGTTTCCTTGCGACTTGATCAATATGAGCCTTCTGCAGCTTGGAGTTTGACAAAGCTATAATCCTGAAATTAACTTATTAAAGAGACTGTATACGTATTTAGAGAGGGCCATGACTGATTCACTATGGTACCCTTGGCTTTTTAACTTTAATCAAATCAATATTGTTGAAGTTGTTCCCGTTTTTTTTAGCTCGTAAGGTGTTTAATTCTGAAAGCTTAAACCAGTGCTCCTGGAGCAAAAATCAACAATATAAGTCACTTTTATAGAAAACCCATGATTGAAGATGGTAACGAAGAGATAACAGAAAAAAAAACATTATAAACTCCTTCATTCTCGATCATAGAAATCTGTTAAAAGTGAATTGAACATGCAACTCAGAGGGTCACTTTAAATTAAATCTACAGTTCCTTTAAAATTAAAAAACAAAATAAAATGTTTAATAACCTTGAATTCTTGAATTTCTGTGCAAAATGCAGAGCAACGGACCCCCATCCACATCCTAGATCTAGGAGATCCATACCGTCCTTCATCCCACTCCTAAACAAACTCTCATATGTTCCTGTCCCTATTCCTGTTCCTGTTCCTGACCCCTTTCCTGTTCCTGCTTCTTACCCCCTTTTCCTTTTCCTGTTCCTGACCCCTTTCCCTGTCCCTTGTTCCTGACCCCTGTTCCTGTCCCATGATCCTTACCCCTGTTCCTGTCCCATGTTCCTTACCCCTGTTCCTGTCCCATGTTCCTGACCCCTGTTCCTGTTTCTGTTCCATGTTCCTGTCAGTGCAGTTCCCTGTTTCCTGTTTCCTGTTCAAGTTCCTGTTCCATGAGTTCCTACCTATGAATGTATAGATCCAGCATTGCAATCTCTGCCTCTGCCAAGGAAGAGGTTGGAGTAGGGTAGAAACAGGACGAATATTTCAACTAAATTATTATTCATTTACAGGTTTACCAACATAGGATGAGACTGCAGAGACGACTGTACGGAATTTATACTGTCCTTATATTTATGATTCACAAAACTTTCATTGCCAAATCATGCATTTCAGACAGAACACTAAATTTAAGCTTGGGATTGTTGCACTCGAAGATTTTAAGTCGTCTTCCTAGTCTTATCCTTTGTGGGTTACCCTGTATTTTGAATAAATCATAAAATCCAATATAGGTTCTTAGTTGAAGACTTCTAATATATCAAACATCTAAAATCTAAAATTTCCTAAAATTATGATATTATATTAAAATAGACACCTTTCATTTTTGCATTTAATTATCTATTTTTAATTTTTTTTTAACATCAATTTGAATTTACCAGACCATTATTATTTACTAAATTTTCTTTACCTTAGGTCCAAGAACTATTCTGAAAAACTCTGGCGGAACCTTAGAAAACAAATTTAGATGTTTTTTTGTTTTTTATGTATATGATTTTAAATACCATCAGTGATTCACAATTAAACAAATTTCATTAAGAAGGCGACATTGAAATTAGATATCTACAAACTAGATATCATTTTGAATAGAAAAAATGAAAGAAAACTTAGGAGAATAGTGATTAACTAACCTCATAATGTTGTTGGTTAGCCATCTATAGACAACTATTGGATAATAGTGATTAACTAACCTCATAATGTTGGTTAGCCATCTATAGACAACTATAGGAGAATAATGATTAACAAACCTCATAATGGTGTTGGTTAGCCACCTACAGACAACTATAGGAGAATATTGATTAACTAACCTTATAATGTTGTCAGTTAGCCACATACAGACAACTATAATAGGAGAATATTGATTAACTAACCTGATTTTGTTGTTGGTTAGCCACATATAGACAACTATAGGAGAATAATGATTAACTAACCTCATAATGTTGTCAGTTAGCCACATACAACTATAGGAGAATATTGATTAACTAACCTCATAATGTTGTTGGTTAGCCACATATAGACAACTATAGGAGAATATTGATTAACTAACCTCATAATGTTGTTGGTTAGCCATCTATAGACAACTATAGGAGAATAATGATTAACTAACCTCATAAAGTTGTTGGTTAGCCATCTATAGACAACTATAAGAGAATAATGATTAACTAACCTCATAAAGTTGTTGGTTAGCCATCTATAGACAACTATAAGAGAATAATGATTAACTAACCTCATAAAGTTGTTGGTTAGCCATCTATAGACAACTATAAGAGAATAATGATTAACTAACCTCATAAAGTTGTTGGTTAGCCATCTATAGACAACTATAAGAGAATAATGATTAACTAACCTCATAAAGTTGTTGGTTAGCCATCTATAGACAACTATAAGAGAATAATGATTAACTAACCTCATAAAGTTGTTGGTTAGCAATCTATAGACAACTATAGGAGAATAGTGGTTTACTAACCTGATAATGTTGTAGGTTAGCCATCTATAGACAACTATAGGAGAACAGTGAAAAACGGCGCTACGACATCTGCTCTATTTCCATTTGCTCTATGGCCATTTGCTCTAGTTCCATTTGATCTATCAAGTCATTTGCTCTATACGTCATTTGCTCTATATTCAATCTGCTCTATACCTCATTTGCTCTATAACCTAAAAATACACTATGAAATAGCTTTTATTGGAATTCCTGAGCGTAACTTGACTATGAAATGCGGGAATTTTTATTCGAAAATTCGCAAATTGCAGTTTTAATCAGTTCTTCAAAGTTCATCATGACAGAGAGACTACTCAATAATAAGAGGGGTAAAAAAACCTAATATGTGGTGAAAACTACATTTATTCTACTCTAACAAACAGGGTGTCTATCCGTACTGGAGATGTCTTGAATATAGAAGGCAGAATTGTTCTGCCGGGGTTAAGACCTTCATAATAATAAAATAAAATCTCCAGGAAGTTGGCAGAAAAATGAAACTGTAGGAAGAATTGTAAAATGTAAAATTGTAAAAATATGTTTATAGAGCAAATGACGTGCTTATTCATAGAGCAAATGTTGAGTAAAGCAATTAAACCATCATAGTCATAAAAATGTTTATAGAGCAAATGACGTGTTATGTCATACAGGGTGTCCCACGAAACATGACAGTATGCAGGACGACTTGAATGTCGTCTTGATTTTTGATATAATTTGCTGCGTTTATTTGTCAATATAATTTTAGAAGTAAATTTCTAGAGATAATAATCACAAAATTTCCCTTGTCCTGCCATTTTCAAACTGTGGTCTGCCTTTTTTGTGCTTTCAATATTGCCCGAGATATGAAGAATTTCGTTCAGATTTCGACAATTTTGCTTTAATTTGACAAAATTGAAATCTGAACCAAACTCTTTATATCTCCGGTAATATTGAAAGCACAAAAAACGCAGACCACTTTTTGGAAATGCCAGGGCTAGGAGAATTATGTGATAGTTGTTTCAAGAATCATACATGTTAAAGTAGATAGAAGACTAAATGTCACAAATAAATTCAAATACCAAAGACGACTTTCAAGTCGTCTTGCTATTGTCATGTTTCGTGGGACACCCTGTAGATCAATAGACGTATAGAGCAGATGACATATAGAGCAAACGTCGTGATCTATGAATTATAGAGCAAATGGTTAATAGAGCAAATGGAACTAGAGCAAATGGCCATAGAGCAAATGGAATTAGAGCAGATGTCGTAGCGCCCTGAAAAACTAACCTCATAATGTTGTTGGTTAGCCATCTATAGAAAACTATAGGAGAATAGTGATTAACTAACTTCATAGTGTTGCTGCAGGTTAGCCATCTATAGACAACTATAGGAGAATAATGATAAACTAACCTCATAATGTTGTTGGTTAGCCATCTATATAAAACTATAAGAGAATAATGATTTACTAACCTGATAATGTTGTTGGTTAGCCATCTATTTACAACTATATGAGAATAATGATTAACTAACCTCATAATGTTGTTGGTTAGCCTCTTGTTGGCAGACTGCTATAGGAGAACTTTTGAGCTCATTAACAAACTTGGCCTCAACACCACCCCTATGGTTCAAAGGGCTTTAAAGGGACCGTTCAATATTTCAAAATGCTCATAATGTCAAAATTGTCTAAATCTTTATACAAAGGAATTGAGTCTTTGCCGCAAACTTAAATTTTCTAAACTTTATATCTTTGCAACCTGGTGGTGAAATCTTTTAAATTTTAAACTTAATATTTGATTGAACATATCTTATAGTTTGAAATATGTACGACATTTGGTTGCAAAGATATTTGGATAAGAAAATCAGAGTTCGTGGCAAAGACTTAATTTCTTTGTCAAATAAACTCATAATTTTGTTTTATGAATGTTTATGTCACCTGTTTTCATAATCTTTGCCTTCTTCCTCTATAGATAACATCAGTTTCTTGAGTCCGGATCTACAGGAATTGAGTCTTTGCCACAAACTCAAATTTTGAAATCCCTTTATCTTTGCAATTGTGTAAACCTTTAATATTTTAAACTTGAATTATGTGATCTAACAGAATTCACATTTTAAAATATCTAAGGTCTACACATTGAAGTGCAAAGATATAAGAAAGAGAAAACTTGAGTTTAAGGCAAAGACTTATTTCTTTTATTTCTACGTTTATTTTTATTAGAAGATTAATTCTTGAATACTTAAAGGAACAGTCTTTTTTTTTCTCAAGTGACTTTCCATTTAGAGAGTCGTGTATATACTTAATTCACAACAGCACCCATTAAACCATTAACTGTGTTGTTGTTGTTGTTGTTGTTATTTATATTAACTAGTTATTCTCAATTATGGTTTCTTTTTTTAATTGACTTTTGGATTTCTTCTTGATCCAGAAATGATGAGGAAATCATGAGATTGAAACACTTTTTAAATTAAACAAATGACGACATCTTCCACATACTATACAGGCTAGCAGGGTATCCTTCTGAATCTGGCATGTCCCTCTATAAATGGAAGGTGACTGAAAACTACAAACACTGTCCCTTTGAATTAAAAAATGGTATGTTGAGAAGATAATTGAAAAATTGAAGAGATATGAACAATACCTTATTTTCCACCTGGAAACAAATATTCAGAAAGAATTAATAAACATTAGAAAAATAATTATTATCACCATTTTTATTTGTAAACGTTAAAAGTTGAATGAAAAATGCAAAAATTTAAAAATACAAAACGATGGTACATAAAAACAAACAAAAAATTTAGTTTTAATTTAGTTTCTGATATTCCTTAGAATATAATCTGGTATCCATCCTCTCAACAGCAACCACCAGAACATTTTAGTCAACATTTTTAACATTTCTGATATGTTTTAAACATTTATTACATTTACTATGAAGCAATCAATTGTCAACATCTTTAACGTTTTTGATAATATAATAAAAAAACAATCTATCTAATTTGATATTTCTATAGCTAATCGATCAAATAAAATGAATATTTTTAAGACAGAAGCTTAAAGATCCATTCACACACGAGCACCATATATTTTTCGATATTGTTTATTGACTTATCCACTAAAGTCCGATCATATTTAAATTTGTTATCTCTCTCTCTCACGTCAGTGATGTTTATAAGTCTATAGCAACTGTGTACACTTTAATATTTCAGCCCAAACTAGTTTTAACTTTGCATTTAGCTGCAGAGCCCAAAACTTAAGACAGGGTATCGTTATGAATCCCAGTTTTGGGACCCGGGGTTCACGGATGGGTTAGGCAGTTTTGTGGACATCAATATTTTTGCTATGAAATATTATTTTATTTAGTTTCTTAATATTCTCCATTTTTTCGAATCTCTTAAATCAAAATCTACACAAATGTTAAGACCCCAAAAAGGAAAGGTTTCGTTCAACGATACTCTTTTAAATTTCGGTTGAGGATAAAATTACTTATTTGCATATAACAGGGTGGTTTAAAATAGAATAATTAATTTGTATATAACAGGGTGGTTCAAGATAAAATTATTTATTTTTTATATAACAGGGTGGTTGAGGATGAAATAATTTATTTGTATATAACAGGGTGGTTTAAGATAAAATCATTTATTTTTATATAACAGGGTGGTTGAGGAAGAAATAATTTATTTGTATATAACAGGGTGGTTTCAGATAAAATCATTTATCTTTATATAACAGGGTGGCTCAAGATTAATCGTTTTTTCCATTTCTATTGAAACCAGCTAACAGAGTCAGACTGATTTCGGATAAATTTTAGATAATATATCTTTGACAGGGGGTCCAGAATAAACTAGTTTATTTGTATCTTTATTCTAAAATTGCAAATATCTCTTGGTTAGGTTTGAAAAAATTACAAATAACAGAAATTTTCTTTTGTCCACAATATTAATTCAGTTTTTTCGGGATTAAATAAAACTTTTGTCCTTAAATACAGATAAAAAACATATATGCATTTACTAAATGATTGAATCTGCATTTGAAAAAAAATAAGGAGGGACGGGGATCCCCCCCCCCTTAACCGGGGATCTTATTTAATTCTTTAAAACTATATGTACACAAAATTTCCCCTTTTCTTGCAGCAGGAATTCCACATATTTTTTCTGCTTTATAATGAATGTCAAATTTAAGAAGTAAAAGGGGAAATTTAATTGCAATGTAAAAATTTTGATCTCAACCATTCCTTCTTTTTTTTATGGATTTACAAATCCGTTTATAAGCTTCAGGCCATACATAAATACATGAAAGTTAATTGCGGTCGCGTATACTCTGTGTACATATTGTAAACAAGAATAGATGCAACAGTGTTCGTATAGTATCCGAGGAGGATAAAAACATTTGATTTTGTTAATTTTGAAAATTCACATAATAGTTTCCTGTGACCAGAATATTTCATAGATTATTTTTGTGAAAATGGATTCCATGTCAGACTTCGACATCCGTCTTGTGTTTACTTTTCCGCCCAAAGACAGTACACTGCAGTACAAAAAATACGTACACCTCTGAAATAACTTTCCTTGCATTAGTACTTTGAGTCAAATCAACAATTGTCATGATTGTAACTCGAATTAAGTCAGCAAAGTTAGCAGCAAAGAGAATAGAATATATAGAGGGGAATTTAGAGAATCTCTCGGTATGAATTTTTTCAGTCCCTTTCAGCCTCAAAGGGAGTTCAAAGTGTACAAATCATGTAAATGTTCACAAATTATATGCAGTAGAGTACATTTATACAGTATGTATCCTAGACTACCCATTTCAATTTCGAATTTTTTAAAGCTGTTAAATAAACTTTATAATGAATTAGGTGAATAAAAAACATCACTTGATCTCTAGTTATAGCGGAAAATCATCGTTTGTAAAATGAAAGGCATAGAGTCTATGTGAAATGATCATTGGTCAATTTTGAAACCAGCCTATTTCATAATTTGGTTTGCTTTTAATATTAATTTTAGATTTTCTATAAAATGGTATTCCAGGGCCCAAAAGGTTAAATAGCCTAAATATGTGAAGTACACCTGCAGTATAGAAACAGTACAACAAAATGGCCGTTGTACACTTTTTTCTAGTAAATTCCCCTCTAATATATATTCTTTTCTCTTTGGTTAGCAGTCACCGATTTTCATTCATAAAACTTTAAATAGTGAAATATGTTGCACTTTGTACATCTGTTTCTTTGTGCTAGTACATATAAAAGGCTATGTTACTTCCAAGATTGTACAAACAATATAAAATTCATTCTTTACTTCAAACTGTGGCTATACTCCAGTTGCTAACTTTTTTGACTAATTGAATTATTAAGTTATAGAGAAATGTACAGGAAATGTAAATTACGTGGTATATAATGCTTTTGAAACTGGTTTCGTGGTATTTCAGTTTTAAAGATATTTTTTATAACCTTTTCAATTTCCAAGAGATTTTTATTATCTTAAACACAAATTTTGTAAGTGCTTTCTCAATCTTTTCAATTTTAGTCATTATGAGACTATAGAAAGATTTAAAAATTGTAATTCGTAAACTTTGAGCCCCAAGCGCTGTACTATATATACCCTTAGATATATCATTAAAAAAAATTCTATAAGAAAATGTCAGCGCACCTTATCAAACGCAACTCTTAGTATAAAAAATGTTGACCTGTGCTGAACCAACTTCGAGTAGATTATAATCTATACCTTTTACAACAAAATAAAATGTTTCAATAATTACAAAAATGTTTAAAAACAAAGTACTGCAAAGTTGAACAATAAAGATATGTTAATCTTTGCAAATTGTACAGAAAAAAAAGCCCAAAGGAATGGAGTCCAAGGTGGGAGGAAACCCCAGAACGCTATAATGAGCCTCTGCTATGCAGACACGAACCTCCCAGATTTGCTAGGCAGACCGAGCCTCTGCCCTGCAGTAAGGGCCTCCGCTGTAAAGTAAACGAGCCTCTTCTATACAATAAACGAGCCTTTTCCAGCAGATACTTTAACGTGGTTTAACAAAACTAATAATTTGATCAAATCAGCCTATTTTTCTGTGGGGAAAAAAGTATCTATAAATTTTTAAAGTGTAAATTTAAAGAATGTATCAAAATTTAAAAAATCATGGGGGGGAGTACTCCCTACCCTGAGAGTCTCAAGGGGGGATTGGATTGGTAGTGAGGGTATTGGGAAATTGAAAAAAAATCCTTGAATAAATGGTGATAAAAAAAAGTTTCAATAAGTCGGTGGTAGTGAGGGTAGTTTCAAATAAAAAACAAATTCTTGAATAAATGTTGATATATAGATTTTAAAAAGTCGAAGGTAGTGAGGGTAGTGGGGAATTGACAAATAATTCTTGAATAAATATGTTGATAAAAAAGTTTCAACAAGTCGGTGGTAGTGAGGGTAGTTTGAATTTTGAAATAAAAACAAATTCTTGAATAAATGTTGATATATAGATTTTAAAAAGTCGGAGGTATAGTGAGGGTAGTGGGGAATTGAAAAAAAAATCTTGAATAAATGTTGATAAAAAAGTTTCAATAGTCGGTGGTAGTGAGGGTAGTTTCAAGAATTCAAGTCCTTTCCTTCTTTCCGTCCCATAGCTTCCTTTACTTCCCCTCCGATACCAGCCACTAACTTTCTTTCTCTTCCCTTCTCTTAACCTTTCCTTCCCCTCTCCTACTTTTCTATATCACCTTTCTTTCAGAGGCGTATTCAGGGGGGGGGCTATGGGGGGCTAAGCCCCTCCCCATGACCAGTGAAATCTTTTGATTTCAGGTGGGTTTCAGGGCCCAACGGGCGCTGAGCCCCACCCTGGAAAGAGAAAAAAATTTAAGCCCCCCTCTGGACAAATTCCATTTAATAGTTCTTTAAAAATGTTTCCCGAGTTTCCCCCAACTCCCCCAACAAATTTAAATTGTAAAGAAAATCCTAAATTTACCAATGAGAGCCCAGGAATAAGAATCCTGGATTCTGATTGGTTGTCAGGAATCCTGTTCTCTCTGCAGACGGAGTTTAATGCTAGTCGAATAAAAAATGGCGTCCAGTGAAGTTAGTGAAGTTTTGTATTCTGAAGATGATATCTCAATGGGGATTCACACAGGGCTCGACATGCCTGTCGAATGTGTGCAAGAAGTCGTCACGGACTCGACCTTCCCCATGTGCGACAGCCAAATCATATACGGCGACGAACTCATCGTTTCTTCTGAAGATGTTCCTCAAAGTGAAGAAATCGTCGGCAATGTGGACGATCACCTCGTTGGACTATACGACGGTGTCCCTGTACCCATCCCCAACGATCTGGATTCCAACGAACTACGTAAATTTGTCAGAAAACCTCAGAAACTTCGTCGTAAACACGATATTTTCGACGATTTTGATTCGACAAAAATCCGCAATTCTCATGGAACATGGCAACAAAAGCAAGTTTCGATAAAAACCCTCGAAGGAGAATTTTCAGTGACAATGTGGGCCTCAGGTGTCGATGACGGTATGTTTAGAATTTAATCAAAGAAGTATTTTTCAGTTTTCAAGTTCTGTTTGTGTGTTGGTGCGGTGTGGTGGGTTAGGCCGCCAGCCAACACTATCACGTGACTTTACCTAGCTTTCTTACACAATCCAATAATTATTCAAATTTAGTTTAATTCCGTCAATTTTGGGCTTTTTGGAGCTTGTAGGTTTTTTCCCAATTGGTTTTGTTTTGATTTTGCCGGGATATGGCGGCCTATGGGGGCATCCATGTTTGAAAAGGCTTCCACCATTTTTACAATGGCGGTTTATAAATGGCCGCCATTCTCTTGGTTTGGAGCCTTTAGTGAAGATTTTCTTAGTTTTTTAGATTTTTGTCGCGATTTCGCCGATTTCACGATTTTTTTCGCGCATTAAAATCTAAGTGGATGTTGCACCAATCTTTTTGGTGTATTCTTGTTTCCAATTGGTTAACTGAACAGCATAAAAATCGATAAAACATAATGTAAACAATACAAATTCCGGTTTTGTTAAATATACAGAGCTGAACAGTTCTTTTTTTCTTTTTTTAGCTCTTAACTTAGTTCTATAACGGATCTGTTGTGATTTCGATATGCAATCACAGAATTTATTTCGAGTTTACATGAATTTTATTCGAATAATTGGAATTTAAATTTCTTCATGGTGATAATATGTTGAAATCTATTATTCTACTGCAGAGTGCAGAATTACATGGAACGGTGCTAAACTTGTAAAATGTTCTAACAAATATCATTTCAAATGATGGTGGGGTCTGTTCTAGTATACGATTTTTGGACCCAGCCCCCCCCCCCCCCCCCCCCCCTCCTATCAATTTTGTTCATGACCATTTATTTTTCAGCATATTTATTATTATTTTTTTTGTTATTTAGGGTTAGGTTAGGTTAAGACACTTTCTGGGCCGAGCGCTGCGGCTAGGATGGGCTAGGGGGCCGAGCGCTGCGGCCACGGGTTAGGTTAGTTAAGACTCTTTCTGGGCCGAGCGCTCTGGCTAGGACAGGCTAGGGGGACGAGCGCTGCGGCCACGGGTTAGGTAAAGTTAAGACACTTCCTGTCAGACCCATGTACAGAATTGATAGCAGGGGGGGGCTGGGGGGGGGGGGTATATTCCTAGAGAACGATTTTTGGACACCCCCCCCCCCCCCCCTATCAATACTAATTTGGTTATGTACAAAATTGATAGGAGTGGGGAGTGGGGTGTCCAAAAATCGTTCACTAGGACAGACCCCAGAAGTTCACTAGGGGGGATGTTGCGTATTGACGGTGTAACATTAACTTTTTGTTGTTTATTTTGTTTAAAAATCTTTTACTCGTGTATTTTTTCACTTTGAAATCAATGTTACTGTAAGATGACTCCCATACAATATTTTTTAGTATTCTCTTTGGTATTGAAGAAGACATTTTAAACCATTCACTATCTGTCATGTTTCGTGGGACACCCTGAAGTTGAACCACATTTCTTATGCTTGTGGTTTTACTTTTCTTGACCCAAACCTTTTTTAGCCATTTTTTGAATTTAGTTGGATCCTCACAATCGGTATCCACTGAGGGCTCTTTTATTTGGCGTAAACCTTTCCATATCTTCATTTTAGTTTTTTTTTTCTCGATTACTTTGCTTATTATCGAAGAGCCTGACCCTTTTATTTATTTTAAATGTTTATTATTTTTCAAAATTTAAATTTTTATCAAAATGTATAAAATAAAATAGATGATGGTCGAAGCAATTAAACATGGTGTTCACACGTCTGCAGACACCCTGTCACAGTTCTCGTTTTACATAATTTTTTAAACTTTTCTTTCTTCCTGACCTTTCTTGTATTTGCAGATGTTGACCGGAAAGATAATATTGACATCCTGGATGCTGTGGAGGAGGTGTCGGGGGACGAAGATGCTGATTACACTGAATACATGACAGGTAATATTTAATATACGAACAGGGCATTGCATTTATTCCCTATTCCCCTTTAATCCACCTTTTGTTCCTCAAAATCACGATCTCTTTTCATTCCCCCCCCCCCTCCCGCTAACTTTTCCCCTTATATATCTACCATATCCGCCCTTAAATCTTGTAATAATGGTCATTAGAATCTATTTATAAATCAAAATTATCCTAAATCCATTATAATTTCTTGTAAAGTTGTAATAAAGCAATAAAGTATACGCTTTATTTGCAAACGTCTCCCGTGTAACCTATGTACACTATGGCTTTTTCAATGTACGAAATATCGCGGATTACAAGATCCATTCATGAAGAAATATGTGAACTGGAAAAGTAATCATAAATTGAAAACAATCAGTGCTACATTTGATACAACGTTTGTAAATGAAAAGATTATCAGGATACATTTTAATTTTCCATTCTCATCATGAAACACAAAGCAGTGCATTTTAAAATGAAGATTGTGACAAAAACCCAGTTACGTCTGACCCCCTGATAAGGGAAGAAACGTCTTTTTTATCTTTAAACGTGCTGAATCCTCATTCGGTCAAATTTCGTTTTTGTTTCTGCTGCATAAAATAACTGGTTCATTTTTCAAGAAACCCTAAATCAAAAATATTAATTTTTAGAAGGTATAACTAGAATATCAGTCGTCATTTTGTAGATACAATGTTTAAAGGCCGGGTACCGTTGTGAACTTCTTTAAATTGTGGGTCACGTAAAGTTATGTCGACAAACTCTTTAAAAAAAAATATAAAAGCCATTTCAGGTGTTAATTGCAAACAACCGTTATTTTATGCCACAGTCATAACCAGATAGACCCGGAACTAATTGAGAGCTAATCAGACGATTTTACATATATCTCTGGTAATTTTAAGCGCACAATAATGGCAGACCACATTTTGGAATTGGAATTGGAATTATTTGTTAATATCGTTTTATTAATCATATTTGTAAAATTAGATTCTGATTAATTATTAATTTATTCTGAGTCTTTCTGAGTATGACTGTATTAAATCTATTTTTAAAACTTGTCTAGTTAACCACCAAATCATTTATTTTCCTCAACCTTAAGTTTTATTAATCATATTTGTAAAATTAGATCCTGATTAATTATAAATTAATTCTGAGTCTTTTCTTATGACTGTATTAAATCTATTTTTAAAACTTATCTAGTCAGCCACCAAATCATTTATTTTTGTCAAGCTTTAGATATTTGCTATTAAACCTAAAAACATGTACATTTTTCCTAAGGAAGGGTAGGGGGTGATTTTTTTAATGGTTAAAATATATTGAGAAATTTTGTATTTTCAGAATAAAACCGAAGAAAGAAAGAGATGATTCTTTGGTTCGAACTATCGGCTGCCCGCATAAAGGATGTTGTAAAATGTTTAGGTCAGTGCTAATCTAAGGGTAGAGTCATATATACAGGACTCGCCACACAAACTTCAGTAACGACTGTACGGAATTCATAATTCTCCTTAACTGTAAACTAAATCATATTATAAGCCATAACAAGACTATTTTTAAGGTAGAAGACCTAATTTAATCTTGGGATCGTCATATTCTAAGAGTTTTAGGTCGTTTTTACAGTCTCATCCTTTGTGGATAACCATGTGTAAGAACTTCAGTATTCATGTAAATGCGCTTGCTCAGTTGGTAATATGAAAAGTTTAAAAATACTTCAACAAACCACCCTTTATCTTAATTCTAGATATAACCTGTCGCATGACATCCCATGACGCATTTTTGTACCGTTAAATAATTTATTTGCAATTTTTCAAGACAAAATGCACCCCTTCATTCCCATCAAGTTCACCCAAAAAAACTCACCCTTCCCATAAATGAAATAAAAATTTCAATGGAATCGGTAACAAATTAAAAGGGGATGGTGGAGTTGGCACATTTGATGTAGGGGGGGGGGGGCTGCCTTCATTTTTGGTTCAAATCTTCCAATTTTTTGGGTGCACGCCTAATTAGTGATCGAAATTCATAAAATAAAATCAAATTGAATTTTAATGACCTCTAATGACCTCTAATGACCTCTAATGACCTCCAGAAATAGAAAATATTTCAACTATGGCTTTATGCACATCAAACGAAAGCTAGGGACCCAGGGAATACAGTAGCAGCAAAAAATCCAGTGTTTGACCTTCTAATGACCTCTTACGACCTCTAATGACCTAAATGA